ACTTTGTACATCCAATGTGATATTTATGCAACATCTCTTGAAATCTTCAGAAAAAATCCATTTGTTATAATTTACAACCCCCAACTTTTTTTTTCATGAAAGTACAAATGGGTTTAAAAAAGAGTTTAAAGCTATTTTATGTCACATGCAGAGACGTTAATAAAATATTTCATTTCCAAACAAAAATGTAACAATGACAAGTACATTTTCTTGAGTTTAATCATTTAAATTTAGTGAACTTCTGACATGCATTTATTTTTTATTCATTCCTGGGACCCAAAACAAAATTTAACCTTGAAGTGAAAATAAAGGTATTGATGGGTTTTGCAGTTTGTATTTAGCAGGGACATTTTCTTGCCCTCAAAAAAAAAAAAAAAAAAAAAAAAAAAAAAAAAAAACACTTCCATCTTGGTGAAAAAAATTAAACTTATATATCTGCTGCCCTCTAGTGGTCAAATTATAATTTGCAGCAGGAACCAAAAATACATGCAGCTGTTGAAATACAACTGTGCATGCATTATGTTTTCATTTATCTTTTTATAATGCAAACGGTCTTAAAGTCTACAGATTGCAAAACTAACTGAAACTAATAAACCTAATTTTCACTGCCACAATTTTTTTAAACAATGTGAAATTTCATCTGGTATGAATAAATAATAGATTGTACTTCRTGTGTGTTTATCGACTGATTGACGATAAAATAAAGCAAGTTACAAAGATGAATGTCTTTCTTTCATGGAGGGTTCCCTAACTCTCCGTGACCTGGTGTCATTGTTTCCATTTCAACTTTAATCAGCACAGGAAGGAAGGAAGACAGCAAGCGAAAGAGAAAATTAATATTCAGGGCAGAAAGAGGAGGAGAAAGAACTGGAGAAAGAGAGGAAAAAAAAGTTTCTAAGGGTGAATAAAACGGAGGTGAGTTGCATCAACAGCAGCAGTTACAGCCAAAAGCACAGACTGACCCTAAACCACGCACACGCAGACGCACACACGCACAGCTCTTTTTTCCCATCATGCAGAGGACGTGGTGACCAGTTTATTCACGTGCATCAGATGTGAGAATTTATCTGAAGTGAGAGAAATATGTGTCTGAACATCTAATAAAAGATAAAACTGAGTTTTATATTCAGACTCACGTGAATATGTGTGACTCAGCCTTAACCTCGGTTACAAAAACAGTGCCGTGTTTCTTTTTAATTCAAGACATGGAACAAAATAAAAATATAACTTGTTTCTGTTCAAACTGTTTATCAGAATTACAAAAAAAAAATACAAAGATTCTGCAAAACTAAGTTAAGAAGAAGAAAAATGCAGAAGTAGATGTGTCTGAGTCATGATGAAGTAAGACACAGATCTGTGAATAACTTCTTTCTCTGTGCAGAGCAGCTCTGTGCAGAGCTGAGACCATAACAACTCACACAGGTCAGGTGCAAACAGTCGACAACTCCCATCTTCATGCAGACGCAGCTTTCATTCGTGTCTCTGAGGCATAAGGACAGAGTTTAAGCATCTTGTGAGGAACTTTAGGGCTAAAAGACTAAAACCATCAGTGGAACTTGCAGAACCTCAATGATTTTTGCACGTTTGCTCTTTAAAACCCACAAAGTCACACATGCTTGAGATTGTTTTTCTCAGTTGCTGCAGATATAAAGAAAAAGGTTGTTTTTTTTGAGACTTCTGCTTTCTGGGGTTATAATTGCAGCACTTTGTCACGTTGAGCCACTTCCTGTCACACAGCTTCAGTTTCGACTGCTGGAGGAAATGTGACATGTGGGGAGGCGCAGGACATGCTTCGTCGGAGGCCTTCCCTGCAGCTTCCCCTCTCAGCTTTCCACTGAGGTACTGGAAATGAAACAAAAAGAAAACACGTCTGATGATCTAACGTTGGAGAACAAGAGAGGAGGCCTCTCCTGCACTCCTGAACCAGGCAGCATGACAGGAACTCTCCACACATTTGACTGGTGGTCCTCATCTGCTTGCCCCTTTTCAATGAAATAGTGCTCTGTCACCCTCTCCTGCGGCACGGCGAGGACTTGTATTCACCTCACGGCCGCTCCTCTTTATGTGCCGGAGCTCAACAGGATGCTCCGTGCAGATGCTCTTGGACACAGCGAACGCCGGCCACAGAAAGTGTGAATAGGGGGCTCTGTGGTTGTCCTCAAAAAAAGAAGGGGTGTTTGTGTGTCCCCTCTGTGTGCATGAGCGGATGTGTGTGGTTTCTGCAGGAGGGTGGGGGGTTTGTTAGGATGGTGTGGATGAGAAGCTCAAACATGTGCTTTTTGCATGTTTGGTGCACTTGTGAACATTATAATTAACTGAACGGATGAAGTGCAAATAAATGTTTAAATCAACACAAAATGAGTTCATTCATTTGATAAAAAAAAACTGACAGTTTGCTCCTTCTGCCCAAATACAAAACATAAACAGGTTGGTGGAAACGTTTCAGTGCGTCTGAGTGACGAATCTGAGTGAGAAGAATCAATTTTAGCATCGTTCCACAGACTGATGGGACGCAGAGGGTTCAGGAGCGAGGGAGAGAGGGGCACAGAGGGAAAGTGGCGAACCGAGAGAGAGAGAGGCCTTTTATAAAAAGCCAAGTCCTGCCACTTTGGGGAGAAATTGCGGGCGGCAAGATCGCAGGCTTTTTGGGTCCGAAACGGGATCCTGATGAGCCAATGAATGCCCCCATAACTGTCCTCGGTGGCGTACAGTACAGAGGGGCGCAGGCTGCTGCAGAGTTACTGTCCTGAGAGCATGACAACAAAGAAGACATGGAGAGCAAAGACTGAAGCTCCTGGCTCCTGAATCCTCTCTGCACGTGTCACACAGATCACACTCTGCTCTGAAAAGGTAAGAAAACTCATTTATACACAGAAAAAAAGTTAAAAAAAAATGCAGAAATAAACCAAGAATAAGGAAAAAAACCAAACTAAATTCTGAAAACAACAAGTTCTGATAAACATTTAAGATTTTATTAATACATTTCTTTCTCAGAGAATAAACCTTGTTGCTTCATTTAATTATTACATTTTTTTTTCAAATCATTGCACACCTTCAGTATAAGATGTGTTTTTAAATAGCATGCAGGAAAAACTGCACATTATTCATGAGTTGCAGAGGAAGTTTGTGCTAAAATGTGACAAGAAGTGATGACATTAAGGGAAAACAGGAAAATTAAACAGAGATTTGACTTTTCACACATAAGAAATAAATTGTTTACGTTCCTCAGCTCATAGACACCGGCTGACATTCTGGAGCTTTACCTCCACACGCAGCTCAAGCATCAAACTGGACCCACTCTGAAKAAAAACACAAGAACCTCAAAAATACGAAGCCAATATTTAAAATAACTGATAAAACAAGTTTTTTGAAAACTGGCGAAAAYGCCTGAATTCAAAACTCGTTTGCTAAAGTTTGCAACTTGTCTGGTGCCTAAATGTGTTGAAAAATAAGAACTTTATGCAGAATTAGTTATAATATTAGTGAGAATTCTTAGTTAATTTAAAATGGGATTATTGGTACTTAWAAATTAGCATAAAAATGATTAATTGTTGCAGATTTGAGCGTCTTGTTTTTGCAAGTTTTTCTTCACAACAAATGTAAAATATTTGTAATTTGCTCTGCCGTATATTTG